GACTTGAATCGGATTATCAGCCGCTACGACTAGTAATCGGGGGTCTCGCTGCCCGGTTAGCGAGTGGGGTGCGGGGGCAACGCCCCCGGTGGGGGTGTGGGGGCAACGCCCCCGGCCCACGGTGTATGGGCTCAATGTTATTTGGGTTCGGGTTCTGGGCCTGGCCTGTAACCGTTTCCTTTGCCAGATTGGATTAGGTTTAGACCCACATGGAGAAGTACTATAAATACTTCTCATACTCCTCTGTAATCTGTAATCTCCTCAATATAGTGAAACTGGCTCTCTCTCGCCCGTGGACGTAGCTAACACACATCGTGTTAGTGAACCACGTAAATTGTGTGTCGTGTTTTTGATTCTCGCTTTCGTATTCTTGCTTTGTCGATTCCTGCGATTTCCCGATCCGTAGCAGCGCGTTTATAACAGGCTTGAATGCCCAAAAAAGTTGTCTGAAATGGCGCTTGTTACCTGGCTCTGGGGGTTGTATCTCTTCATCTTGGTATCGAGGGGAGAAAACCGTGCCAGGATTAGACGCCTCCAATGCCAAAATTAACCTGGGAAGGAATGCATATGATTCTTCCCAATCACCAAAGACGGCGGCCAAAGCTTTCTGCTTTCCATGCCACGCCTTCTTATAGTTAATCATATAACCATAACGACTTGCAATGTCAGCGATTATGACTTTCACCTTTAGGTCTGGCTCTTGCTCAATTAGATGCTTGATAGCCGCAGCAACCACCCTGGATTTCAACCGTCGATGGCCTTGGGAAGTTATGGATGGCACACATGTGTGTGTGTTCACCGCACGAGATATGACCCAGTGGCCGTGTCTCTTGCTGTTGATGGCCCGAATCCTAACATTGCACCCGTCGTGATGATTAAGGCATCTGACTATGAGCCTTTTAGTGTTGGAATGAGTTGTGTGCCATTCAAAATGCCGAGTCATTGCTTCTGTCTCAATGGCGTGACGCACCTCCTTCTTCGAGCCAAATTGTTGGCCCTTCATAAACCCAGTGAGTGGACCCCATATTGGGACCTCTGGCTGCTCCATGTCGCTGTCGACCATCCAATTGTCGTCTGGAATGTGATTGTAGTAGGGGACTGGTACACGGTCACGAGCCCCCTCATCATCATTAGCTGAGTCTGACTCTGGTCCTGAATCATCGTCACCTTCAAGAGGGTCGGAGCTGTCTGCACTGACGTTGTTCTCTCCTTCTTCATCGGAGGGGTCACTGACTGGTGCTGGCATGACATCCTCCATCTGATCCAGCTCATGAAAGGCACCTTCATCAGCTCCATAATGGTAGTTGTGAAAACTACCGCTGCATGAGTGGAAGTTGTACTGAGGTTGGTTGGGCCGGTCCGGTTGAACTTCTTCTTCATATGATTGATGATGACCTTCACCTTGCTCTTGGTACTGAAAATATGAATGAGGATCATGGTAACTTTGGTAGGGATGATCGCCATATAATTCACCTCCACCATGGATACCAGATGTTTGACCGTGTCCAGAATGACCTCCAACACCTACGACCGGCTCGGTGTAAACGAACATCTCGGCTTTGGAAAGATTGTTGGACCTCATGAATTCGAGCATGGCGTCTACCTCATCCTGAGTGGTTATGAGATATTCCTCATGCCACAATGACCCACTTTCTCTGTTTGGATATCGGTACACCATACGATCAACTCTTCTCGTGCCATCCATGCAAGTAACGTTAGTGCACATTTGATGGAGGTCTTCAAGCAGCGGTCTGGTAGCGACCTTTATCTTCTGAAAAATGCCACCTACGTAGGTGACCCCTTTCCGGTCTCTTCCGTGTAACCATTCCACCGTAAGCCAAGCGTGAACTTTTGGAATGCCATCTGCGATAAAACCGTAGTTCAGTTAATATCATAAAAATCAAAAATAAAAAATAACAATAAAAAGTAATACTAAATCAACTTATGAGTTAACGTTAATCGCAAAACTACTAAAGAAATATAGAGCTACAACAGAAAATTGAAAAGGGAGAAGGAGAGGTGTGAAGAGAAGTGGTTGTCCGGGAGGCCTTTTATAGACAAAATCACTGATGAATACCGCACCTTAGAGGTGCGGTTTTCGTCTGCCATGCAGACCCACTTCTGTTACGTCTGCATGGCATGTCGGAAATTGATTGACCAAAACCGCACCTTCAAGGTGCGATTTGTATGGCAAAATCGCACCATGAGGATGCGATTTTGTTTGGGAGAAACAAACCGCACCTTTATGATGCGGTTTTAATAGGTCGAACCTAAAACCGCACCTCGGCCAAGCGGTTTTAGTAGGTCAGACCTAAAACCGCTTGGCCAAAATGCGATTTGAGTCCAGAAAATTGGAACGCACCTTACTAATGCGATCTATTTGTAAAACGCACCCTTAGGGTGCGATTTAAATATAAAACACATCTACAAGGTGCGTTTTATTAAAAAGGGTGCTATTAGTGTAAATTTTAACGGATGGGTGCTATTTTTGTAATTTTTTTAAGGTACTATTTCTGAAAAAATCCCGAAAATTACAGCAACCAAGCGCCTTAAGTTACAACAATAATGAAATTCAGATACCAAAATTACTGTCCATGGGTATAGGTGTCAAAATATAGCCCGACCCGATTAACCCGCCCGATCAACCCGACCCGCAACCCGAATTGACTAAAAGGCAACAACCCATAACCCGCCCGACCCGCAACCCAACTAACCCGCAACCCGATTAACCCGAACCCGATTGACCCGCAACCCGACTGACCTGCAACCCGATTAACCCGAACCTGATTGACCCGAACCTGACTAACCCGTAACCCGACCGACTCAAACCGAATTTCAACTAATCCACTTGAATAATTATAAAAATATACAATACATAGTTTTTCAAAATAAAGTTTTTCATTCTAAACTTAAGTAAAATTATTTTTTCATTTCGTATAAGAAATTTTAAAAATATGAAACTCACTTGATATTACGTATTTTAAGAAAATTAAAAAAATTGAAACATGAAGGTCACTTGAGATCATGACAATATTAATATAATATATAAATTAAAATTTTGGTTAATTTAAATATTCAATAAAATTATCAATTAAATATAAATAAAGTAAAGTAATGTATTTGGTAATTTGATGTTTTTAAAAGAAGAGGGAAATTTTGGTGTATTCAAGTTTTTGTGAAGAGAAAGAAGATGAAAATTTGGTTCTTTGAATTTTTTTTAAAAAAAAACAAGTGGGAATTTTGTATGTTTTGATATGTGGGAAGAGAAAGAAGTGGGAAAGTTTGATTCTTTTGATTATGAAAGAGAATAAGGAGGGAAACTTTTGACTTTTCAACTTTTTGTAGAAGGAAAGAAGAGGGTAATTTGGTTCTTTCAATTTTATGGAAGAGAAAGAGGAGGGAAAATTGAGTTTTTCTAATGTATGGAAGGAGAAAGAAGGAGGAAAATTTTAGTATTTTTGTGAAAAGAAAGAAGGAAACAAATTTGATGTTTTCAATGGTTTTTCATAATTTTGGCTTTTGAAATATGAATCTTTAACTTTTATATGGAGCGCATGACTAGTTAAAATTATTCTTATATGCTTTGAAGACTAATATGTATATATGTATGTAATTTTTTGTGGGCTAATAAATAAATTAACCATTAGTTACAACAATTTATACTAAACTTGATAAGTAATCTTTGACAGTTCGTTGTTTAGGATATAAAGTATATGGTTAGGGTATAAGGTATAAGGTACATATGGTTTAGGGTGCATATGGTTAGGGTATAAGATATTGATGGTTTGGACGGTTCTAAGTTTTTTATTAACATATGTTCACTTGAAGTCATTTGAAGTCTTTAACGGCAGGAGATCCCTTTTTAATTTATGTTTATGGTACGTGGTTAGGGTACAAGGTATGTGGTGTAAAGTATAGGATATATGGTTAGGGTATAACAATTAGCAAATATCACTTTTTATCTATGTTTTGAAAATCAAAGTATGAATTTCACTTTTAAATTAACTATACTAGCAAAATCACAACTCAAGGACATATGATTAGGGTATAGGTTATGTGGTTAGTGTATAATATATTGATGGTTTAGGGTATACAATCAACAACATATACTAACTTAATATTGTTGATTGAGGGTAAAGCTAAGTGTATAGGATATATGCTATTGAGTAAGTTATGATTGAAGTCACAATAATTTTACTAAATTTGATAGATAATCTTTAATGGTTCAATTTTTAGGATAATTCGAACAATTTTACAAATAACTCGTCTGGCAACAGTTTACTAAAGTTATTTGGGCAATGAGTTATTTTGAAATAACTCATTTTATCACTATGCTTTTGCCAAATACCACACGCCAAATACCAGATTTGCATGGTTATACTAAACGAGATACTTTAATCCAATTACTACTGAATTAATACTAAAATATCAAATAAACAATTAACGGTGTCTTTTGGTTGCAAATATTGATATCACCATTACTATTAGCTATAATACTTTACCAATTATGATTAATTACATAACAAGTTTGCAAGTCAAACAAATTGATTTAACATTTTGACTAGTTTTTTTCAAAAAAATAAAGTATATATATACGAGGTAGAAATAAATTGGTTAAAAAGTTGAGAAAATATTTTAAATTAGTGTAATAAAATGTGTAAGTTGGTGATGAGTAATGAGTTAAGTTACTTGATGCACTGGCCCGAACAACCCGAAACCCGACCCGCCCGCAACCCGCCCGACCCAAAACCCGATGAACCCGCAACCCGATTTGCCCACAACCCGATTGAATCCGAACCCGATGAACCCGCAACCCAACTAACCCGCAACCCGTTTGAACCCAAACCCGACGAACCCGAACCCGATGAACCCACAACCCGACTAACCCGAACCCGTTTGAACCCGAACCCGATTGAACCCAGCCCGAACCCGCCCGATTGACACTTATATCCATGGGGCACTCAAACCTAGATTTGTCTCAAACTTGGCTTTAAGCAGTTCCTATTTCGAAATTTTTTTTACACCAACCCATTTGTTCATATTAACCTTCCATTGGTTTCACAATCTTTGAGCACTGGAACAAGGGAAAATGATGTAATACCTTCAACAAGTGAAACCATCTAGTCCTTCAATGCTCCTAACAACCTATTCAAGATATCTGTATAGAACGACAACCAAACATGGTAACAAAGTTCTCCTTTTTATGTCATGAGTCACATATCCTTCTTGCCCTCAGATTCTATCGACTCAATCTGGCTACGAAGGCTTTGGTTGTCTTCTTGCAGTCGACCATACTCTGTACGGGACCCTTCGGACTGCTTCCTAATAGTCTCGGCTTCCTCTTCAGCAGCTTTCGCCGCTTTTGTTTTGGCCTCACATTCGGCCTCGAGCTTCTTTACCTTACTGCGCAGAGTAGCAACCTCTTCGCCAAGTGCTTTAGCCTCCTCTGTGTTGGTGCCAAACTTACTGTCATCCAGGCCTCGGGTCTGCTTCTTGGCAGCTTCCATTGTCTTTCTCAGCTGACGAAGCTCCCTGATGTAGTGGTGCAGCCTGTCGATCATCAGTGCAAGGAACAGCAGAAATCCTGCAAGGGAATGGAAGAAGTTGATTGCTTTGGAACTCAAAACTGTCAGAGAACATTATTCATCCACTGAATCATATGGAACATGTAGTTAGTAAGGCCTGCTTCTCCTAATGTGCAACATGGATGTGAATCATAATGGAAAATCCATGGCCATGAAGGGGGTATACTAAGCATAGCATGGATTGGCTGAAAGTTCCCCCGAGCTAAACCCTAAGGTGAAAAATGAGCTCTTTGTGGAATTAAGACATCCAGGAAGAAAATGGCATACAAAAGATCGGATCCTACATGTCAACATCACATACCCAACCAAAACCCTAATGACTTCTGAAGATAAGAAGACATTAACACTAAAGTAATCAAACCCTCCTCCCTAAGGAAAAAAAGTGAAGAAAGGAACAAACATATACCACGCCACATCCACATAAATGGAAGTTCCCTTTTCCAGGAAAATAAGTTAAGCATCTTGCTGCACTTCCTACAAGCTAATGTCCTTAGTTCCTTGAAGAACACAGTTATTGACAGAAGCCACAGAACATATCAATTGGAGATATCCAAATGAAACTAGGCGCCACAAACTCACTCGTAAATGTAATTGAGGATCCTTGCTCAAAAGTTGAATACCATCAAAACAACCAATTGCTAGTTTGCTACCTCCACCAGCAATCCGAAACAAAAATGCCTAGCAATAAAACATCCCCTCATCTCCTGCTTCAGTAGGCAAGCATTAAAAGGAGGAATGACCATCAGAAACAAAGACTACCCAGTGCTCAATGTTCTCTTCTCGGTTCTCACTCGCCCTCAAATTCATCTCAATTTCATCAGTTCTCAAATCCCCTTACGCATCTTTCAAATAACTATCATTAATAGGCTAATAACCGGTTTGATTAATGACCGCATTCACCCAAAGCAAACAATTGTAAAAATGGAAACAGAATCAATGAAGCTGAGAGAACTGAATTGACGAGAAGAAATCAGCGAAGATGAACCAAAATGGTGATTGGCTCCAGAGGAAAGAGAGAAACGAGAGGTTTACCCATAAGAGAGGCCTCAAGCAGGTGCCTGGACATCAGAACCTGGTCGGTAGGATTGGGAGCACCAGCCTCGATGGATCGATTCTGAATCTTAACCATGCTGTAGAGGCTCGACAACAGGACGATGAAGATCGTCCCGGCGACAGTCTTCACCATGACGGGACCCCTGCCTCGCTTGAGCCGATCCAAAGCCATGATCACCAGCTTCCGCAGCGGCGTCTTGAACAGGAGCGTCAGGATCAGCGCCATCTCGGCGAAGATCACCCCGTACAGAAGCTGTATCATCTCTTCTCTCCCAATGAAAAAAGAAAAGTAGAACCAGTGCAGAATGGAGAATGAGATGCAGACCGACGTTGAACAGAGATGGAGAGAGATCGGCAAAGAAGGAGAAAGAGAGGAGAGAAGCCAGCTTTTACGATCAATGCGGTATGGTATGGTGAGTCTGGGAAACAACAAACTTTAAATGGGTGCGCAGCTAGGATGGTGCCGCGTGTACCTTATGCTGTAGTCTCCGTGTTAACGGCAATGGTCCCCTGTCCTGTCGGCAAGGATAAGATGTGCAACTCCAGCTCTTTCCATTTTCCTTCTACTTTTCAAGTCTAACCATAATAAGATTGTGAAACCATACTGTACCATATCCGCGATTAGATCGTAAAAATGCTTTATCGGTAGACAATTTATAATGGTCGAACCACAATTTCAATACAAAATCCATTATATATGAGTTAGAACAACATCCAATACATTTTTACAATTCTTGATTTCTTCTACCATAGTCTAATCAAGTCCTTTGGTGATAACGTACTTAGCGGATTTAGAGTCACGAATTAATCTCTAAATGTATCTAACCACTTAATGGATACCATAATATCTTAATTTTAAAAAATGTCTTGATTTTAACAATCAGGAAGCGGCCAACCGATCTAACGACTCTCAACTATTCTATACACGTTCTCACAAATTATATTCACATACTTTTCATGAGAACGTGCCTTCCAGAAGCTGAGAGAAGGAACTTCGAATTGCATTGTTGGATGTTACAAACATGAGTAAGCTAGTAATAGTCATGTCCATCAGTATTAGAATTTAGATGTATGTCCTCCAAGAACAAGGTCATTCCCATTCATCTTCGGCAGAGTTCATCTAAAACGGCGCATCCTAGTCCTTATCATTTCAATGTACTGCTGAACATAGTTAATAAGCTAATATGATTTCAGGTCTGAAGTTCTCGATTTCTATCAGCAGACAGTTTATCAAAATGCTTTAACTATAACGTAACAGAGAATACCTAGGGGCGGGGTAAAGGCAGACGGCAAATTCTACCAACCACAAAATATGGGCTGAAAAAAGAAGCCGTAAACTAAAGGCCCTTGCAAAGGCAAAAACAGAGGTCACCCGTTGATTCCCTGTTAGTCTTTCATGCTACGTTCGCAATGCGGGAAGTTAATTTACGAACAGAAACCTTAAATCTGCCTCTGTCAACTTCCCAAGGGCTTCCGACGAACCACCGACAGTCCTGCGAATAAAAATACGTCGTTAATCATATAGTATTTGCAAGGCGAGGTAATGGGAGAAATGGTGGGGTGCAGCCCAATAGAGAAAGACATTGGAAAAATCTCACCCCTCAAAGACCAATTCCTTCTTCTCTTGCAGCTGCAGAATCCTCTCCTCAACTGTATTCTCGATGATAAATCTCACGATCCTGATAGGTTTATACTGTCCAATGCGGTGGATTCTATCCTGCGCCTGCCGCTCCACGGCTGGATTCCACCAAGGGTCCATCAAGAAAACCTACACGTTTCTTTCTTGCAATCAGTCATGAACAAGCACAAACACTGAAGAACAAAAAAAGAGATGCAACCATAGGTGTCGAAAGCTTGTTGAGGAGGTGGTTCAGGCTAGAACGGAAGCCACTTACATTGGATGCTACTGTTAGATTGAGGGCAACGCCTCCAGCTTTCAGACTCATGAGGAAAATCTTGCAGTCTGGATCATCGGTAAATTTCTTGATAGCTGCATCCCTTTGTGATAGGGTCATGCTTCCCACTAGCTGAACGCAATTCACCCCAGACTACATATGGTATTTGACAATTGACACTTCTTAGGCAATGTCCTCTTTGTCTTATCGCAAAGGAAATAGATGCAATATATTTACCTTGATGAGGGAGTAGTGTATGAGATCCAAAAATGAAGTGAACTGGCTGAAAACAATTCCTTTAGCTGAACCGTCCCTTTCAACCATATCTCTAATTTCTTCCCTCTGGAGACATACATTTTGGGAGGAGGAGAATCGGTTTACTTTCTCAACAAAAGAGGCAAAAGATAATGCACATTTAGTACAACAGCTTAACACATACCAAAGCCTCTATCTTGGTGCTGGTCTGGAAATCGTTCAACTGTATTCTGTTGAGGATACTAGCAGATCTGAAACCCTTGACAGATGTAGTTTTTCGGGGCTGTGACGCACCACCATCAGCCTTTGTGCTGAAGTCAACAGTCAGCAGTTTCGAGCAATTGGGACAGGAGACTTGTCCTAAGGAAGCAGAGAAATCGAGCAAGCATGCCTTGCAGAAGATGTGTTCGCAGGAGCTGACCTGAAATAAATAAAAAATATATATAAACAAAGTAAAACAAGCTTGATGATCTATAAGTTCTGCATGCAGAAGACATTGCACGACTATGCATGGCTAGCTCACCACGGGATCTTCTGCCGGATCGTGACAAATTTCACAAACTTGTTCAGTATCATTAGTATCCAGTGTGTTTGCATTTCTTTGTGCTGCCGTTGCGGAGTATACCACAAGGTATGGATGATCAACTGCCTGTAGTTTGCACAGATACTCCAAGAATTAGTAACCAAGATACTTGGCAAGCAACAAATTAAATAGTTTTTGGTTTCTATCAATTTAGTAACTTAAGATAATCAAGTGAACTAATATGATAACCTAGTACTGCAAATTACCTGGCGTAAGCGGGTGAGGAGATCGAATATATGAGCATAGTTATTCATCACAGTTCCAGCCTTGATATAGCTATGAAAGAAAACGAGAGCTGTTACTATTTGTATTCACCAAAACAATTATATTCGGTAGAATGGAACCACAAAATGAAAAGGAAAATGCATCCTAAGAAAGCAAGAAAAAGAAACAGAATCATACGTATTAAACTGTGCCTGACTCTCATTGTATAACGACTCATAATAATCTTCTTCCTTAACGTCCAGGGTATCTCGCCTCAATTTAACCTGGAAAGCAGTGGCAACAATATGATACATATTTAATAATTTATAAATCTTGGCAAGAGAGAGGTTAAGTTAACCCCATCGCAGGAAAACTTACGATCCTAGGAGGAAGAGCAAGATCAGCAGCTCGCCCTTTTTTGGTCCGCCTTAGCACTATGTTCTTCAGAACTTTATGTTTCAGCAATATCATAGCTCTTCTCCCAGTATCAAGATTCCCATAGGATTGTATTGGGTTAGAAATGTTCTAATGAAGAACAACACAACAAGAACAAGTTATGGGAGGAGGGCTAGAAAATATGATGAGACTGAGCATATAAATATGAAAAAACTCACTTTATTCCACCAACAGAAATGCCTCACAGAACTGTGAGCACAACTAGAGCATTGACTTGAAGATCTGCAAAGAAGATGAAGGTTAACTGTGGATGCCTTGTTGGTTCACAAAGGCAGTATCATTGTCAGTGATGGAAAATAATTTATATCTGTGCACATGGTATATAGGTTTCAAGGCAGTGAATCCACATCATAAGTGCAAGGAGAATAGCAAGATTATTGCAGTGCCGGTTTTTCTTTAACTCATAAAATCAACCAATAATGTAAGAAATTGTAAAACATCAATAAGTCAGGAGGCATACCCATAATCAAGAATTCTGCAGTCACAGTCCTTGCACAAGTAATATGAATATGGTACAATCTGGAGGAACCGCACCTGAGATCAAGAAATGCAATAAACATAAGTTGTATATAGCTAGAAAGGATGGTCAAAGTAAAATTTCCACAAAGTACCAACTCACCAAAGAGTAAAGCTCTCCAACACGGTTCTGGAGGGGGGTACCACTCAAAGCCCACTTAAACGAAGAGTCTAAAGCAAAAATGGCCTTGGCAGTATTGCAACGTCTGTCTTTTATGAAATGTGCCTGTTTTTATTATGAAAGGAAAAAACAAGGAAAAATGGACCTCTGTTAGAAGGCCAGAAGCTGGACACGAATATTTAGTTGACATTACCTCAGAACAATAATAGTGAGATGAACAAAAAAAAAAAAAAAAGAGGAAGAATAAGAAAATATACAAATGGGTGAAACAGCACAAAGATAAGAAACAGTAGATACCATTTGCTAAACAGACAGACCAGAAAGGTAAGCAATACAAAAAATTTGACCTACAAATGATCTTCGACATATACACAGAAACCAACTCAAATAGAATCACAAATACATTGAATTGAAGCTAACAGTAATCATTCAAGAAACCAGGAAGTAAGGAAAAACTCTCAACCTAGACATTAGCAAGTTCAAATGAGAGCTACTACCGCCATTGCCAACTGACCTCATCCAATATTATACGCTGCCAGTTGACAGAGTGCAGGACTGAGCTTTTCTTCCTCAAGGCTAGCTCAAATTCTGAATACCCTAATTCACTATCACCACTATTCCCGGTTGATTTCCTCCAACCCCCTTTTCTTTTATAACCTGGAGAAGATTCACCCTTTTGAATATCCACATCAGTTTCCTGCTGGTCTTTTCCCAGTTGAGATTTGAATTTTTTCTTGACTTGCTTAGACTGTTTTGCAGTTCTGATAGCATCGGGACCACAGAAATATTTAAGATGAATCCACAATTTCTTTTCATGAAATGACTTCCCACAGTAACTGCATTGTTTCTTAGGTGGCATCATATACTTTCTGAATTCAGCCTCAACAATACTGTATGTAGTAATAACGAAGTCATAATCTGCAAAGTGCTTCGAGTCTTTCCCTCTATTTGCACCATGATAAACCAGTACCTTGGCACTTCCTTTCTTAGTAAAACGGTCAATTTCACTCACCCACTGAGTCACAGCAACCACAGGACAGACAACGAGGGTAGTTTTTATTCCAGATGACGAACCAGTGCTAGAACCAGATGTTGATGTTCCAAATTCACAAACTTTCCTGTGCATCTCTCTTCGGGCAAGTACAAGGGAAATCGCCTGAATAGTCTTCCCCATACCCATCTCATCAGCAAGAATTCCCCCTCTAGTTGAAGATTCTTCCTGTTTTGAAGCCCATGCCAACCACTCCTTCTGGTACCTTAACAAAGGCATAACCAATTCTGATGGTGCCTCAGCAGCTTCAACTACAAAACCATTCTGCTGATCTAAATCCACATCTTCAACACAGTTTTCATCAAGCCATTTCTCGTGTTCTTCCTCCCAAACTTCCCACAGTAGAGGAGGCGCTGAACTATCTTTGTCCTTCTTCCTCCCTGATTTGTGTTTCCTCTTTCTTGCCCCAGCAGCATCAGCTTGAGTTGTGGCCAAAGTCAGAGATGTTATAAGTTCATTGGCAGGCTCTTCAGAAGGATCTGGATTATCGATATGAGCAGCAGGAGGATCTGGATTATCGTTATGAGCAGCAGAAGGATTGCCAGAAGGAGCACCCCCCTGGCCAGCAGGAATGTGCAACTTGCCTTTCGCTTTACCCTTTGAAAAGGGCGAGAAGTCAGCATCCATGGGCATCCCACCTACAATCATCTCTCCCCATGTAACACATTCCAATTTAACAAAGCAATATTGATAGCATGAAATGATCGTTGCTGTAAGGACCATATATATAATAGAATACCTTCACTATCAGAACTATTATAATCAGAATCTGAAGGTGGCACATAGATCTCCTCATCCGAGCCAGCATCGTGGGACAAATGATCAACATCAGCTTCTCCTGATGAAGTACCCTCGCGGTCCTCGTAACCTGATTCCAGTTAGGTAGAAGAAACAGAAGTCAACACTAATCAACTGTCCAACTCCTTGATTTCTAAAGCATTCCCCATACAGCAAAATGGCCAATAATTTCCAATAAACACATCATCAACCGTAATATTGAAATCGCAAGAATGCGCAATCAAGTCAAATCAAAATTCTAAAGCGTCTAACCTTCCAATTTGATTATCGAAATCCCTAATTCCGCAACAATCAAAAACTAGTTAACGCAACGAGCGAGACAAAACCTAAGAGAAGACATCTGAACCTCCTCCATTTCCCCGCGGAACATACACTCGCCATTCCCAAACAAACAACACAAACCAAACACAAAATGGAGAAAGCTGAGCGCAGAGGCGAGAAATCTCACCGTCGGTCGGAGGCTTGGAGGTGATTTTACGTGAACGGAGTTCCATTGCCGCCGTAGAAATGCTAGGTTTCCGATCTTAGGGATTGCAAAAATCAGAAAGGGATTTTGTCCTTCTTCCCTTGGCGAGTCTTATCGTCGGGGAATCGAATTCGATTTCGCCGGGGAAAACTGAAACGACGGTGTGGGATCTGGAGAGAGCGGTGGGGAGAGGTAACGCTTGGGAGAGTGCGCCGGTGGAGGTGCTCGCTATAAACGCAGTCTGAAGTGGCGGGGTAGAGAGGGTGGGTGGGGACTGGGGTTGGTGTTTGCTAGTGGTAGATTGGGCGGCGGGAAACCCTTTATATGGAATGGAGGGCAAACGGCGGGAAAACAAATTCCACGTAAGACTTCCACCGGGTCCCGTCTCTCTATCTATTCTATGCACACGTCCATTAACTTTTTTATTTTCGTAAAAAAAAGCTTACCCAACAAGCTTTGAATTGAAGCTCCTTGTAAGGAAAATTAATAAAAAGGTCAAACAGCTTCCCCAGCACGATTGCGGCCTTGAAATAGAAAGTGATTAAGAAAAAGTTGAATGCTACGGTAAACATTGTTAAGAAAATGCCTTGCCTCCTTAGTTGGCTTCTTCAGCGACCTCCGAAATTGGTATGGCAATGTTGCCAATGTAGGATGAACAAGCACATCCGCAAATAGATCTATTCGTCTAATCCGACTTAAGTGATCCGTATTTATCACCAAATTAAGGTTTTAAGCTGGATGAGAGTTTTCTTTTGCACAATTCATTTTTTTTTGGTTGGGTGTGAATTTTGGATTACACAATTTATAGAACCCGACCCAATCCGTGTTCCAATTATTAATATGAGTTCATATAAAAAAATATTTATGTCAAATATAAGCATATTTATGAGAAAATTAAGATATTTCACCATGTTTTTCTTTCATGGTCTCCCTAATTTAATGCATTCTTTAGTTGGAAAATTTAGACGTAGATTTACTATAGCTACAATTTTAATGAAGTAACATATTATGAATGCGTTCGTTTATAATCTCTTTAGCCTATTTCAATAAATATTGTGAAAAAAAAACTAAACTTTTATTTTTTTTATGAATAACTAGACATATGTTGAAGTAAATTACATTTTATTAAAATTCAAACATATTTGTACATTTTAATACCTTTCACCTCATATTATTCGTTTGAAATTTTAATTAGTCATATAATATTTTTATGGTGTAAATAATTACATTTTTTGTATTGTGTTGGTTTTTACTTAATTAGTCTCCAAACGACCCCTTATTTACACCATAAAATATTATATGACTAATTAAAATCTACAGATTGTCAACATTCTAAAGATTCTAACTCTTCGGATTATTGAAAATAAATTTTAAAATGTTTATTGTTTGGTAACTGTGATTGTTAACATTCAATTAAAATAAAAAATTCATTTTATATTAAATAACATGTTTATCGTTAATAAAAAATTAGAGTGGATTGAGAAATATTAAAAAATTTGTTGATAAATATATTTCATGTGATAAATAAATAAAAGTAAAAGAAAAACTAGGAGAAAAAAACTTACGAATCAAGATATAGAATCTCTCTGATTATGAGAGATTTGATATCCACAGATTTTAGAGATTTGAAATCAACAAAAAACATAACTTTCTCAATCCATATCTTGAATCATGTTTTCCAAACGACCCATAGAAACAAATTGTAGGATTTTAATTTTTTTGGGTTGGTTTGGATTCCATATTTCCGAAACCATAGTGCATGGATCGGGTGATTAATTTAAGGAGAGCATTGAACCTTTATGCAGGATTGTGATGTTTAAGATTTAGTTTCAAATTATCTATGGTTCGTGAGGAAATTCCAGTGAGTTTTAATACTCTATTATTCTTGATAATCAACTAATCAATAGCATTTTACCAGGGACTTAATTATCATTATGAAAATGAGATCAATGATACATTTTTATATTTCACCAAATGTTTGATCTATATATTTTTTCTTTATGTATCATCTCGATTGAAGAATGTCAATAAAATTAAATTGGTTGATAGACTTAAATGTAACATGAAATAATCAAATATGAATATCCGATTAACGGAGCGGCACACAACAACAGTGAGTTGCTCTGTGTTTTTATATTCATCAACTAATCAGGATTACGGATCATTGTCGTGTGCCATTGTACAATCGGCTATTTATAAACTAAATAATAATTAATAATTATAGCAACTAGACGAACTAAATGAAACACAATCCTTCTCCAATTTGAATTAGTTACTAGTCAAATATTTTTGTTCAATTACAATCAAACCATAGTTTAAACACAAGATATCTTGCCTGGTAACTAGGACTGGAAGTTTGGTACTGGTATTTGTGATATACCGAATATCGTATCGAATTTGTATATATTTGGAATTACCGAATACACGTATTATTTCTTGGGATTGAGATTGGAATTCAATTTTAATTGTTATTCGGTATTAGGGATTACGAGATTGGGATCGGTATATATCAAAATACCGAACAATACCGAATTATAAGCTAGTGTGTATTTTATCCTCTCAACTAGACTCTCTCATTCACTATTACACGACCCTCAACCACCAACAGCGGCGGATCCAGAGCACAGAAGAGCACTGGGCCGCATTTCATTAAAAAATTAAAACCGTAAACAAATATAATGATTTTTTTTGCAATATATATTGTACACTATCATATTTTAATTTAGCGAATGCAACAATAATGAAGTCCACATCCATACCAATAGTATAAACTGTTTCAAATAAAATACTTGAGCAATCAGCAAGAAATTCATCGCTCATTTTATTGCGCAAATAAGTTTTTACACATGTTTCAATTTTGAAAAAGTTCTCCCGGTAGTATCTTTTGAAACGAGCAGCGTCAACACTAGACAAATCAATTGTGCATTGTGTGTCCATCCCTAGATTCACCAACTACTCTAGTAAATTTTCAAGGGACAAAACCTCATATTTCTTCTAGTCTTTTACGTTTTAGACTTTTAGAATTTCAAATTTCCTTGTTTTTTTAGACGAATAATATTTGGGGCTAGAATTTCTAGTCTAAATAGAATAATGATTGGAAAATATCAATTAGAATTATTTTCCTAGTTATACCCAGTCTTATTATAAAATAACACTGAGCCGAATGTCTAATATCGAAAAATTCATAAGGACTACACTAATGCCGGATCCAGAGGAGGGCTGGGCTGGGGGCCGGGGTGGTCACCCCCTAGATCCGCCACTGACCACCAATCTATTGTTATTTTCATAACACCAAAAAGCAAATACTAGTATTAGTCTTCTCTCAGCCTCCAATTTGTCAAATTAAAGATTACCAATGAGAAAAATTTGAGATGTCACCTCTCCTCCATTCTCCTTATCCATATCCTAGCTCTAGCCAAACTCAAGACTCTTTGCTTATTCTCTTTGTCCTATATTAAACAATCAAATCTAATTTATATATTTTAATTATTTATTATAAATGTAATTAATTTCGTATTCGATAATACCAATTGGGATACCGAAGTACCGATTGGGATACCGAAATATTTAGGGATTGGGATCGGGATACCGAAATTATTTAGAGATTGAGATTGTGATTGATTTAAGTGTGTAATTCGGTATTCGGGATTTTGGTATTTGATATTGGGATACCGATACCGTACCGATTTCCACCCCTACTAGTACCAGTGCCGGAGAGGGGTCCTAGGACCGTACTTGGCCAAAAATTGGGTAACAAAATCCTATAGATACGTAGGGTTTTGTACGATTATTCAAGTTTAGGACCTCATAATCTTATCTATCTTAGCTCACATAAGGACCCCAATCAATCAACTCAAAATTCATTAGATACACAAGCATTAGTATTAGTAAATTTTTAAGTACCCCAATGACGCCACTGCCTAGTACAACATACAGTTCTGTTTTATGATATCTTAAAAGATTTTGTACTTAGGAATTCCAGTTATTAGGACAATTGGAGTATCACTATTTTTTGTTTTTGTTTGTACTAATGTGATATGTGCATGATAAACACGCAAATGTCATGTCATTCCAATGAGTTCTGATAATTTATGTTCCTTAGTTCATCAACCTATATATTTGATGGCTTAATATGGCACAAGGTCATGAGAATCAATATACCTGCTTCAACACTATTTCATAAGAGTTAGTTAACAGATCTATGTAAAATATAAATAACTTGCAGCTAGGTATGACAATCAAATCCATGACCGAGGGTATGGATAAAACGGTCTCAAAAAGTTTGATGGGTATAGCGGGTATGGTTTTAGCCTCCCCTGCCCATACTCATACCCATACCCGGCCCACCAAGAATATTTCTTCATATATAAAAAATACATGGATCAAATTGAAACCTATCAATGATAATGAAGGTAACTTAAGACAATATATAATGAATGAAAATGCAATCGAGTGGCCACCCAAATTCAAACCTAATTCCTTTACGTCAGTTCTCCCTTCATTCTTTCACTTTTCCCTCTTATTAACAAGATAATTATGTTAGTTAAGTATTACTTAGTAGGTGTGTTAGAGTTAGAAACTAATGATAAGGAAAATATTATACTATCTTATTGATTTTTAGATGTTTTAGGATAATAGGACTTTAACTATATTAAGAATGATTGTATCTTTGTTGACTTAATGATATAATAGGCCTGTTTAGCGTTACAATTGAAAATTTACATCTAAAGTCTTAAGTATAATCATGTTGGATGTACGGGGCAGGTATTACCCATGGGAACCCGAAACCCACGGGTATGGGATGGATTTGCAAAACCTTTCCCACATGAGTATGAGGCGGGTACGAATTTGAATATTTGAAAGCGGAAATAATGAGTATGGTTTAGACAAACTCGCTATCATCCCTACTGGCAGTGGTAAACCCCAATTACATTTTTGAATCATGATGTGATGTGATACCAGGTCCAACCCAAACCATGTGCTGGTCAGACCAGCACACAAGGCCTCAACTTTTCGGAGGCCTCATAAGTCATAATCCATTAGTCTGGACTCCGGAGGTAGATCCAACTTGGGCCTCATAATCCATTAACAGGCGGAGCTGACCCCTTGGGATGGCAAGGCGATCCACAACCCGCACAAGGCCTCAACTTTTCGGGGGCCTCATAAGCCATAATCTATTAGTCAGGACTCCGGAGGTAGATTCAACTTTAACGACTTTCTTCTTCTATTCCCCAAATTTTTTCAACTTTCTGAAACCATCTAACGCCTAAATATTAATTATTTACACTAAATTCTAATGAACTTTTTTTTGAAAATTAATGTCCATCCCTATTTCGGGCACATAATCGACTTATTTTAAGTTCTAACCTTTTTTCTTTTTCTTTTGCAGGGAGCTTAATATTGATTGAAAATTTGGAATCCCTAATCTTTGGGATTTTTCCAATAACAGCACCTAATAAAAAAATTACAAAAATAGCATCCAGCCCACAAAATTTACAAAAATAGCACCATTTTTATCAAACCGCACCTCCAAGGAGCGTTTTATAGTTAAACCGCACCCTCCAGGTGCGTTTTATAGTTAAACCGCACCCTCCAGGTGCGTTTTGCGCCACGTCAGACTGGAAACCGCACCAGGAAGGTGCGGTCTGTGTTTCCTCGGGAGCGGACTTGGAGACCGCAGGATAAGGCAGCGATCCAGCGGCGGACCGCTTGCCACCTCAACGATCCTTGCCACGGATCGAAGACCGCAGCTAGCAGGTGCAGTCAGCGTCTCGATCAACACAGACCGCATCGGGAGGGCGCGATTTCTGGCTGGGATAAATTACCAGACCGCCCGTGGAACCAGGGTGCGGTCTCAAGGGTATAAATACCCCCTCCCCCCTCTCATTTCTTCACACCACAACCATTCTTCACTCTCTCTCTAGAATTATCTCTCTAACCCCTCCCCTCCCAAAAGCATAGAAAATAGTGGTCTGTTGGTTGCGGCTAAGTCCGATCTGCCATCAGAAAACATTTCTTTGGTTTTACCCTCAAAACCCGCCGAATTTCTGTCCGACTTTCGCGAAAAAATGGATGAGTGGTTCCAAGGAGAGGGAGTTTATTATGATGAATTTCAAGCGGTAAGTACTCATTATTTTGGTCAGTTTTTGTTATAAGCTTTTTAATTAATCTATGTACTAACCTTGTTGTTATTCTCTCGTAGGTTGGGGACGACGTGAATATATACAACCAATGGTACAATTTGGATCAATGGCCTATTGATCCAAACGACTTGTACGACCAACCCAACCATCGTTCAAGAGATTTTTAGAACGATCACCCGGTACATACAATTCTTCATCATTTATCTTTCTTTTATTTTGCTAATGTACTTAGTGGAATATAAAATAAATTTGAAATAATTTAATCGTATTGGTTGTTTTCAATAATTTAATCGAATACATAAGGCCACTTACTTCGACTCTTTATAAAGAGATGCATGTCTAAGGAAATGGGGTTTTAAGCAATTATCATGATCCTCCAATTTCCTGGGAAAATCGGGTATTAAGAGATCCTCGGATCCCCCATTTTTCTGTCAAAAAGGCTGCGTTTCTAAGAAGATGTATACCTCTTCTAAGAGTCTAACAAGTGTTGCATTGTATTCGATTAAATTATTTAAAACAACCAATACGATTAAATTACTTACCAAACAACTAATACGATTTGTGTTTATGTTTACTTAAATAAATTTTATTAATTTCAAATGTTTGAATATGTATGTATCTCTTTAAACTATTATTCATTTAGAATGTTATTTATGTCAATTAATTTAGTATGTTTGTTTTATCATAATATGTATATATCTTGGAAAAAATCGCAAATTACTTAAATTTGATTGTTAATAATATAATTATAATAGAATTATGGTCAAAATTAAATCATTAATTTTTAATTAATTCAGTTATAAGACTAAACTGTTGTTAATAATATAATTATAATAGAATTAATAATCCACCTTGCCCAGATCCACCCCTAACTCCACCGCCTCCTCCGCCACCAAGTCCTCCACCGCCACCCAAACCTCCTCCCGCACCACCACCAAGACCTCCTCCAGCACCACCGCCACCTCTCAAGCCTCCACCTCCACCACCGCCGAGCCCTCCGCCTCCCCCGGCACCGCCACCTAGACCCCCGCCGCCGCCTCTACCGCCACCAAGCCCGCCTCCCCCTCCAATGCCGCCACCTCGACCTCCGCCGCCTCTTCCAGGCCGTCCCCACGCTGGTCCACGCCCGTGTCGTCCACCACAGCCGCGGCGACTAAAGCGGCAGTCGTTGTCGTAGTCTCGGTACCTTGCCACGTCGTCATGGTCAGCAAGCACTAGGGCACTGATGTGGAGAACAATGCAGGCCAGAACCAGAAGCAGAGAAGCCCACTTTGACGACATTGCTCTACTTTTTGAGTGGTTTTTTTTTTTTGCTGCGGTTGCTTGATGCTTGGATTGAGGCTACTATGGTGTGCTTTTATATATGGATTTCGTTGGGGCTCGATTACTATAGCTTAGTTACGCAAATCGTTAGTTTTGCGGGGGATTGTTCTTTTAATAGGTCCACATTCAAATTAATATCACGCGTCAAGGGTACCGTTGAGGTTGAGGGAGTGGCGGACGGCAAACCCAATTTAAAGCAAATGAAAGTCAAACTGCTGCATGATAGTTTGACTCTTTCAAAATGTTCAATATCACCAACGTCCAACTTTTGCACGCAACATGGGAACTTCGAGATATGGGCTTGCTTGCTGACTTGCTCCCTCCTAGTCCTAGCTACTTCGGAAGAGTTGTAAAATTTTATCGTTCTTTGTTAAATATCCCTGATTATCACTTCATAATGATTAATTACATGATCATCTAGCGGCTCAATTACGGTGGTAATGACTCGAGGAATATACATCTAATAGGGATCTTCATGTTCGAATTCAATACAATTATCATTGGATCACATCAGTGGCGTAGACACTAGACACAATTTTGCATTAGGGGTGCCGATATTTTTTTTAAAAACTTTGTTTATTTCATTTTCACTAGATCTGAAGCTAGGCTTAAAATGGTTTATCGGGAGAGATTGTTGTGACCATATTGGTGTAGTCGAGTTAAAGTTAAATGTAGGTGCATTTGATGAATTATCATCATGCCCTTAAACATTTGGAGTTGTTTTGACCCTTTTTATCAAGATGTCTCCATGGTAAAAGTTGCATATTTTAAAAAAATGGAATAACCAAAGAATTATAAAGGGCTAATTCCACTAGGAAGCCCAAACTATGCGAAAAGTGTCAATTGTGTACTAAACTATTTAATATGACAAATATGGCACAAACTATATGTGTTTCGTGACATTTGTGTTCTAAATTCAATATGACAAATCTGACACAAACCACATAGATACTGACTAGATTTTCTGGTAAATACTAACGGTCAACACCGGACAACATTAGCAGAAAAATAGTTTATACCGGATTTGTCATATTGAATAGTTTAGGAGACAAATAAACTTTTTGAATAGTTTGGGCTTTCTAGTGGATTGAGAAAAGAGGAAGGAGAAGCACAGATATGCATGAGCTCATGCTTTTGCGCCTTTGTTGGGGTTGGTTTTTTTTTTTTTTTTTTTTGCTCACGAGGAATTTTCTTACCTTCAAAATACAATATATAGTCAATAATTTTAAACCACTTTATTTGTGGTAAATTAAAAAAAAACATTTTGGGAATTTACCCGAAACTGGCCGAGTCAAGGTTTAGCTATATAATAGACTGCTCATAGGCCATATCCATGACTCGATGATCAGTGTTACGAGTCAACTGTGTCGACACTGCTGCTACACGGCTTCTTGTCGTCTCCACTAAATATAGAAAGGGAAGAAGAAGATGATGGTGATGCAAATTAACAGTATCGATCCATTTATGGCAATCCATGGCCCGCTGGCTTATTAATTTGGCATTGGATATGAAAGGCAAAGCTAGCTAGGTACGTAGCTTTAAATAAGTACAACTAAGGGTTCGGGTTCGTTTGGAAGTTGAGATTTCAGGTGAGGTATTTAGTCATTACATGTAATGATAAAATTAAGTCGTTTTTTTGATTCAATTTGAGTTAGAATGCATGTATTACCTTTTTCCTGACCCACCCACAATCACTCAAATTGAATGATTGTTAATCTCTACAAAAAGTAGAGATTGTTAACAAGGGATTGTCGACACTACTTTTTGTTCAATCATTATCTTTCCAAACAAGGTATTTTCCTAATACATGCATTGAATCAATACATCAAATAATAATACATGAATTGATTAAATGCATCTATTTGGAGAATCTCAACTTCCAAACATGCCTAAGATCTGACGCGATGCCATAAACTCATGGCCCATATATTAACCTCCATTGTATTTTAGAAAATGTTTTGATGACACATAAAGAGAGTTAGCAATAACATCACCTGATTCATATATTTTTGTTTTTATGTACGTAAATTTCTGGTTATTTACGTTATATTCATGTTTATTCACGTAATAATGATAGTTATTCAGTTAAAACAGTAATGATTATTTACACAATCAGGTATATATTCATGTATATTGTTATTTATACAAGTCGATTTAAAATCAATTTTTAAATTTTTAAATATATCAAAATGAATGTAATTGTTTAGATTATGATCAATGCAACACATTTTTTACAGAAAACTTGAAATTTCAAATTTAATTCCATAAAATATGGCCAACACAAATTATTAGAGAAAAAAAAGAACACTTGGGATTCCAGTTGTGTAAATAATCATAACTCTTACGGGAAATAAGTATCGAATTATATGAATAATCATTAAATGATGTGAATGAATGCCAAAATTTGGTGGTGTTGGCTTTTTCGGTGACACCAAATCTAATAAGGTTGATTTGGTTTGTTTTATCGGAATGGTTGCAATACATGTATGGTTGTTTGACGTGACAAGAACATTTATCTAAGATGAATAATTGTACAATCTCACCTTTTAGATAAGATTCTTGGATTGTTTAGTTGAGATTGTTGTGTTTTGTTTGTTCATTTTTATTATTTAAAATGTATTTTTATGAAAAAGGGTACAAATGACATTTCTATTAAAATAGTCTATATTTTAATTATAGAAAACATAATCACATATAAAAGAATTCATAAATAAATGTGTAACATAATACATGTTTATCACAAAATATCAATTTAGTGTGGTTTGCTTGTATTTTGGGTGTGCATGCATTTGTAACTCAAATCCCCAACATCATTGGATTTAGGTGGGAATTTTTTTGGAACACAACTTAATTAATGAAGCCAAGGTTTTGGAATTTTTAATCCAAATTTGTGTACCCACGAATTTGAAAATCCCACGTTTTATTTAGAATGTGGTTGATGGAAGAAAAATTTGTGTAACCAATTGTGCAAAAATGTATAAACACTAAGATAGAAAATCAACTAAACAAATAATAAACTCTTCAAATTCATAATGCAACAAATCTATAATAAATTCAAAGATTTTCAAACCCAAAATCTATCATTTTCAAATCTAATAATTTGAGAACCCAAATCAGCTCTCAATCTTTTCTAAGAAAAAAGTCAGCTCTGAATCTAATAGCCATGTAAAAACTCAACTCTGCTGGTGGTTGAGTCCCATGCCATCATTGTCTGGGGTAATTATGATCAGTGAGATTTGGCATGTGAGGTGTCGTAGATTGTATGGGAACAAGAGGTAAACTGTGCTAGAGCTGCTGGGAAGAATGCAGGAGGTTTTGGAATGGAAGCTACTGGAGATTCTACGCTGGCGGTTGCTGTAAATTAGATGACGAGGGAATGGGCTGAGTTCGATATTAGTTAGTAGCTAGTTAGTATTGGGTTGGGTATGGGTTCAGCTAGGTAGGGTAGTAGCTAGGGTTTTCATACCCTATATAAATGTAAGTTAGACATTAGTCCGTTTATCAGATAATAAGCCTAAAACAGTCTTTCGACACTTTACGTCGTTCTCCCACTTGTGAGTTACAAGCAAACTCCCAAACCAAGAGCGTCGGTTCTTCAGTGGTATCATAGCATTTGCTTCCGCGGCAATGAGAGGATCGGCGGCTGAACGGTGTGCAGCATTAGAGGCCACCACCGAAGGATTGGTGGAGCAAGTTGACCGGCTCGAGACGGTGGTTCAGGAGATCCAAGTCTCCGTGACGGGACTCTCCGAACGGGCAGCAAGGACAGAGGCGACCTTGGCGATGATTGTGGCGCAGCTGGAGAACCTCATGTTGCAGCGTGAGGGGAAGGAGATTCTCGCCACTCCTTGTATAGAGATGAAGTCAAAAGGGAGCAGCAACAGTGATGGAAAGGTTGACGAGGAGTTCGCAAAGCTCGGGGCCGAGATGGGAGGCGAGCGCAGCGTCTTCGGAGGGAAGGGCGACACCGGCGGGCAGTGCCTGGGGTTCGACGCAGACTCGACCAAGCCGCTGAGCGGCGGCAATGGAGGGACGAAGGGCAGCATCGGCGGCGCAACCTTCTTAGCCAAGTTGGCATGGCTGGAGTTCCCAAAATTTGGGGATGATCCGGGCGCCTGGTTTCCCCGCGTGGAACAGTTCTTTGAATATCAGGAGGTTTTGGTGGAACAGCGGGTGGCGTTAGCTCCGTTTCATCTTGAGGGTGAGGCGAACCAGTGGTGGCAGTGGGTGAAACAAACGTACAAGGATGCCGGGGAGCCGATCACGTGAGAGTTGTTTTCCCAAAAGCTGTGGGCGCGTTTTGGGCCTACCGAAGGTGAGAGTTGCGATGAGGCGTTGTCTCGCATACGCCAAACGGGCTCCTTGCGCGACTACCAAACCGAGTTTGAGAAGCTTGCTAACCGTTGTGTCGGCTGGACACAATAGGCGCTGGTGGGTACCTACTTGAGCGGCCTCAAGGCTGAGATTGCGGATGATATAAGGATGTTTCGGCCTCAATATATGCGGGACGCAATTAGCTTGGATCGAATGAAGAATGACCAGCTACAAAATCATAAACCGGGCGGGCGGGCGATTGAGCACGCTTGTGCGGGAGCGCCGGGCTACGACATTGGCGGGGGCGGAGGTGCGAATGGCGGCCGGGCTGGGAATGCGGCACCGCCGGGAGGGACAAGGCCACCGTGCGGGAGTCCGGGCGGGAAGCGCTTGACGTGGAAGGAGCAGCAACTTCGATACGCCCAACGCCTCTGTTTCAACTGTGGTGAGCGGTTTACCATAGGGCGCAAGTGAGGAAATGCCAAGGTCATGTGTTTGTTTGAGGAGGAAGATTTCGAGGGTCAATCCTAGGGTCAAGGTTGATTTCAAGGGGCAGGAATGATGAGGGAATGGGCTAGGTTCAGTATTAGTTAGTAGCTAGTTAATATTGTGTTGGGTACGGGTGTCATTTGGGTCGGCTTGGAAGGGAGAGTGGGCCGAGTGTGGCTAGGGTTCGGCTAGGTAGGGTAGTAGCTAGGGT